TCCAGAATTTTATCATTATTAATTACTTTTACCATCTTTAAACTTTCTCCTCTTGGGTTTTATAACAGCACCATGTTGATCTTAAGGGTTAAGATTTTTAAAAAAATATTTTTATTGATTTCAGAGAGGAAGGGAGAATATGGGAGAAATAGAAACATCAATGATGAGAGATAATCATTGATTGGCTGCCTCCTGCATGCCCACTACTGGGGATCGAGTCCGCAAGCCAGACATGTGCCCTTGACCAGAATCGAACCCAGGACCCTTTAGTCTTCAGGCTGACACTCTATCCACTGAGCCAAACCAGCTAGGGCCAAGGTGGCCATTTTTGGATGTTTGACGACAGCTTTTGAGTCCGGCCCTGCCTCTTCCCTCCCGCCCGGCATCTGCACGAGCTGACGAGAGAGCTGAGGTTCCCTCCTTCGGTGCTGGGGGGAGAGGCAAACCATGGGAGGCCATGGCCGGTGTGGGAACTCTCACCTCAGCTCCACCATTAACCACAATAAACACCCAGGCCCGGTGCCTTTCCTGGCGATCGCAGGACATTTCAGACCTGCTCCTCCCAGACAACCATGCAAGCAATAAACCTTTCATATCCTCCTGGTGTGTGGCATCATCAGTCTTAACATTCGAACCAAATATGGGTGGGGCTGGGGGGACGTTATATCTCTGCAGGGTAGAGATTCATCACTGTTCTTACCCCTGTTCTTATCACGGGCCTGCGTTCCCACGTGACTACAGCAGGTGGAGCTGAAGAATTCCGGTCTCCAGCTGGCCAGTCGCCACCACACCCACTGCCTTACTCCCTGCCTCCTGCACGCATTTACTCCACCGGCGTGGCCCCTGTGAGTGGGCAGTTTGTGGTCCCATGTCTAAGAGAACTTTGCCTGGAGGCAGGTGTGCAGCTGGGCTATGGCTTCCATTTTCATTCTCAGAAAGGGGTTCCCCCTCCTTCTGCCCGGGTTCCAAGATGGCCGGGCCCAGCCCAGCACCTGCCCACTTGTAAGCAGAGTGTACCTTCATAGAAAATGCCCTGGTCGTCTCTGGTCTGCAGGGATCCCAGCTTCCAGTGTCGTCCATTCTTGTCCATCAGCACTGTCCCCGTGGGCAAAGCCTCAAGGGAGATGGTCATACGCCTCCGCTTCAGTGTCTGAGGGCTTTTCTTCTTCATCTGCGGGCTGCTTTTGGGGGTTAGAGGACTGCCCCCTACAGCAGGATGGCCAGAATAAAGGAAAATCCAGGGGAGAAAAGTTGAATGAATAATGAGACAATAACCATAGTTCTGTTCATTTACTCATTTGTTCAATGAAAAACAACAACAAAAATGGTTCCTGAAACCTCTCATGGGTCAGGTCTTTGTGACAGAGCTGGGGACCCAGACATGAGTCAGACCTGGGCCCCTCCCACCAGAGCCCCTACTTGGGTGGGGAGTCTAACCTGGACACAGCCCGTCAGGCAAGGCAGTACAGAGAGATATGAAAAGGAGATTGACTGTGCCTGGAGAAGTCAGGGAAGGCTTCCAGGAGGAGGGGGCATTGGAGTTTGGTCCTGATGAATGAACAGAACTTGCCAGGGGGAAATAGACATTCTAGACACGCAACCAAAAACATCCCGAGACAGGACCTGGCCTTGTGCCAAGTATAAAACATTTGTTAGGCTGAGGCCCTGCCCTTGACTGGCTCCCAGGCTGGCAAGAGAATGGGGTGGCATGGTGAGGAGGAAACGGAATCAGCTGGACATGGACACAGGAAAAAATACGAACATCCCCATCCCTCCCACCTACCATCTACCCAAAGCACAAGAGGTGGTGGGGCCTACAGGATAACAAGGGACAAAGAGGAGACGCCGCGGGCTGCGACTTCAGATCTCAGGGCCTGGGAGGGAGGAGACCGGCTTGCGGTCCTCACGCCTCCTTTACCCACTGGCTGCCTTGAGAGCCTAGAGGGGACTTGCGCTCAAATGACTGGCACTGGCACTGTGGGGGCGCAGACGGAGAGCGCAGAGGGTCTGAGGGAGAGGAGATGGCCTTGACCCAGCCTGTGTTGCTCGGAAAAGGCTTCCTGGAGACCTGACCCCGTGCTGGGGAAGTGGCCGCGCGCCAGCAAAGCAGGGAGCGTGCCCTGCTGAGGGAACAGACAGGCAGAGACCAGAGGCTGAGGCCCTAGACAGCACCTCCAGAAAGTACGTTTTCCGCGCACAGGGCTGTGGTGAGAGCTAAGACAGGAACCAGCCTCTCCGAGCCTCAGGTGCCAGGTTGAAGAGGTGAGACTGTGGGGCAACGGGAAGAGCATGTGACTGTGAGCAGGGAGGGAGGGGGTCAACTCTGGAGGGGGAGCCTGGAGGCTGGGATAAGGGTCCAGGCAGGTGTGAGTGATGCCCGGGCACCCAAACACTGTCCGATGACCCGCCTTAACCCATCCCGAGTCAGGCCAGATCGATCCTAAAACTCACCTTTGGGCTTCAAGGTATTAATACCTTTGGGACTCAAGGTATCTTGAGACCCAGAACTCTTGCAGTTTGACAAGACAGATGAGGAAGACGTGCTACAGCTGGACCACTTCACTCTCTTGGGAGAGGATTCATAGCTGGAGTTCTTTCTCCTGGAGCCTAGGGAAAGGAGGACCGAATGCAAACTGGGATTACGAAGGCCCTTCCCAGGGAACATGAAACCAGAAGCCCAAGTTCAGAGTCAACCACTCTCTTCCCTTCGACCCTCACGGCCAGGTCTTGCTGCTTCTTCAGGGGGCTTGGTCTCTCTTGTATCACTCTGTCACTCTCTTCTGTCTTTTAGGTAATTTCCCCGGATCTATCTTCTAGTTCACAATTCTCTCTCCCGCTTTGTCTGGTCTGCAGTGTCAACAATCCGATGAGTTTCTGATTGCCGTGAGATTCGTTTTCATCATCATAGGTGTTCGTTGGCTCTTTCCCAGGTCTGCCAGATCAAATCTAACTAGCTTTTGTTCCTTCGTTTTATTTTTAACTTCTTCCTTTATTTCTTTAAACACATTAAAGGTGTTCTGGATGTGTACAGGGAACCAAGATGGCGGCATAGGTTAACGCCGGAGTTTGCTGCCTTGAACAACCACTTCAAAAGTGAAACTAAAAGACGGAACGGACACCATCCAGAACCACAGGAACGCTGGCTGAGTGGAAGTCCTACAACTAGGAGGAGAGAGTAACGCATACGGACACTCAGAGGAGGCGCAGTGCCGAAGTCAAATTCTGAGGTGCGGAGTGCGCGGAGCGGGCTGGCGGCAGAGGGCGCGGTTGGCGTTTTCAATCGGGAGGGAGTCGCAGACTCTGAGCTCCAGATCCGGGCGAGTCTTTAGGGGCACAGACTCAAACGGGAGAAGCGGGAC